TAGAGTGGAGAGAAATCAGCATGGAAATTTTGTGAAACCTAAACTGCAAGAAGTTGTGACTTGGTTGAAGAATTCATGGGAGAAAATCACTGACAGTTGCATTGCAAATGCACTGTCAGTAGGCCACCTTGACAAGAAGTACTCATTTAAAGACAGTGCTATTGCTAAACATGAGAGATTTGGTCCACTGATTCTGAAAGAAACAGAGTCACAAGAAATTCACCAGGAAATTCAGGAATTGAATTGTTATGATGATGTTCCAGAAGATGATGACATGATTGTCATTGAATAAATGAGTAAATTCTTGATACTGTAGAATTCACAATTTGTCTGGTTTGTGTTGACAACTACCGTACTACCGTACTGTATACAGGTAATAAATTTCCTTTATTTTTATTTAACAATAAATGTGTACCATATTCTTCTTCATGGAAAAATAAGACATCCTCTGAAAATAAGACCTAGCACATCTTTGGAAGCAAAAATTAATATAAGACACTGTCTTGTTTTCGGGGAAACATGGTAATTAGAATGGGAGGAGGGGTCTACTAGCTGTAAGAACACCAATACCCTCAGAAGGCACAATTAGCAGTGTAAATAACAGCAAAAGTCTAAAAACAGAAAACTAGAAAAGTGAAATCATTTGGGACTGTTCATGTGGGGGTTCACACTTCCCTGCATACCTTGGTAAACACTGAATATAGCAAATAAGTAGCAGACCTGCAACTTGAACCTAGGTCCCTAAATGCAAAATCAAAGTCTGAGTTATTGCCCCAGTGATTTAAAACTAAGTTATTGAAGGGTGTTGTAAATACTTTATTGTTAACAGTGTAATGAAGGGGAGAGAGAACCAAGATGGTGGCCTAGGTAAGTACCTAAGCTGCCGCCTCGCTCAAAAATTTCAAAAACAACTAAAATCAGAACGGACTTCATCCAAAAACACAGGAAAGCTGGCGGAGTGGGAAATCTACAACTAGAAAGAAGGAGAGAGGCTCACAGATTGGGACTTGTAATTCTATTTCTTTCACCAGGTGGGGGAAGTTTTCTGTCATTATTTTTTCAAATAGGTTTTCAGTATCTTGCTCTCTCTCTTCCTCTGGCACCCCCATAATTATGATGTTTGTATGCTTGAAGTTGTCCCAGAGGCTTCTTACACTATCTTCAACTTTCTGGATTCTCTTTTCTTTTTTCTTTCCCAGTTGAGTGTTTTTTCCTTCTTTGTATTTCAAATCTTTGACTTGATTCTTGTGTTCCTCTAATCTGCTGTTGGATCTCTGTATATTTTTTATTTCAGTCAGTGTATGTTTAATTTCTAGTTGGTCCTTTTTCATATCCTCAAAGGTCTCGCTAAATTTATCAGCCTTTTCTAGTAAATTATTGAAAAACCTTATAACCATGGTTTTGAATTCTATATCCAGTCATTTGTTCTCCATTTCTTTCATTTGTGATGTTTGCCTCCACATTTCCGCTGCTTCTCTAAGTTGGTAGAGTAGATTTGTGTTGTAGGTGTCTTATATGGCCCAATGGCTCAGACTCCCCCAGTTACCTGAGGTGGACACTTTTAGTGCAGCCCTTTGTGGATTGTGTGTACAGCCTTGTTGTAGTTAAGTCTTGACTATTGTTGGTATCACTAGGAGGAATTGACCTCCAGGCCAATTGGCTGTGAGGATCAGCTGTGTCTACACAGGAAGAACTTCTGTGCTGGAGACACCCTTATGGAAGAAGACTTGCAAAAGCCTCTGTGCTCAGCTTGGATGGGTTGGAGTCTCAGGGAGGAGCAGACAATCTTTGCCTCCTGTCAGCCCTGCCCTATGAGGACCCTGGGTCTCAGTGTCCCTCAGTAATCGCTGCAAGCACCTCTGAGAGAAAGCCACCCTCGAGTTTCGTCTGCTGTCACACAGTCCAGTTTCTCCCTGAATGAATCTGGTTTCTCAGATTCTCACCCAGCACTGGAGTTCAGCGCAGTCAGGATTCAGGTTCCCTGCAGCCAGTGGCAAAGTCAGCAGTCTTGTCTGAGCATACTTGCGCATGCGCCTCTAGACATCTGCTTTTTGTGGCTCCCTTGAGTTTCCACCTGACAGTCCAGATTTCCCCCATAAGAGTGTGGGTCCCCTGGGGCTCGCCCGGAACTGAGTTTCAGTGCAGTTGGAACTGGGGTTCATTGCAGTCAGGGGCTTTTGATTGCCTTGTGCTATCGAAAGGAAAGTCTATGGCAGGGAAAGGCTATGGCAACCTCTGCAGACAGACTTCTCTATGCATGCTTGCCTGAGCCTCTATAACTCTGCCTGCTATGGCTCCCCTGAGTCTCCGAGGCTCCATGTGCCTTTCTCTCTACCTGACAGTCCAGACTTCCCCTTTATGAGCCTGAATCCACAGGGTTTCAGCCAGAACTGGAGTTCAGTGCATTCAGAACTGGAGTTTAGTGCAGTAGAGGGCTTCCTTTACCAGCCTCCCCCCCCCCCCCCCCCCATGCCAGAGAAACGAGCCAGACACTCTGCTGCCCTTCCTCTCTGTGGGTGTGTCTCCGTACCTCAGCCCTTTGCGACTCCTCTGATTCTCTGTGAGCTTTTCTCTTTCCTTCTAGGTGTAGAATTTCCACTCAGCCAGGTTTCCTGTTGTTCTGGGTGATGTCTGTTCTGTCTTTGAGTTGCTGTTTTGAAATTGTTGTGCAAGGCAGCAGTTTAGGTGCTTATCTATGCCGCCATCTTGTTTTCTCCTCTCTTGTTGTTTTGTTGATGGTTTCCTTTACTGTCCAGAAGCTTTTTATTCTTATGTATTCCAATTTGTTTATTTTATCTTTAGTTTCCATTGCCCTAAGAGCAGTATCAGTGAAGAAATTGCTTTAGCATATTTGTGAGATTTTGCTGCCTGTGGATTCTTCTAGTATTTTTATGGTTTCCCATCTTATGTTTAAGTCCTTTATCCATTTTCAGTTTATTTTTGTGTATGGTGTAAGTTGGTGATCTAATTTCATTTTTTTCCATATATCTGTACAGTTTTCCCAACACCATTTATTGGAGAGACTATCTTTACTCCATTGTATGCTCATGCCTCTTTTATCAAATATTAATTGGGCAGAGCGGTTTGAGTAGATTCCTGGGTTCTCTATTCTATTCCATTGATCTATATGTCTGTTCTTGTGCCATTTCTGGGCTGTTTTAAGAACAGTGGTTTTGTAATACAGCTTGATATCTGGTATTGACATCCCACCTACTTTCTTTTTCTTTCTCAGAATTGCTACAGCTATTCAGGGTTGTTTTATATTCTAGATGAATTTTTGCAGAGTTTGTTCTAGGTCTGTGAAATATGCTGTTGGTATTTTAATTGATTGCATTAAATCTATAGATTGTTTTGGGTAGTATAGACATTTTGATGATGTCGATTCTACCAATCCATGGACATGGTATGTTCTTCCATCTGTTTATGTCTTCCTCTATCTCTTTTTTCAGTGTCCAATAGTTTTTCGCATATAGGTCTTTTACCTCTTTGGTTAAGTTTATTCCTAGGTATCTTAATTTTTTTGCTGTGATGATAAATGTGATTGCCTTCTTAGTCTCTTTTTCTGTAAGTTCACTAGTGGTGTAAAGAAATGCCATATATTTCTTGGCATTAATTTTGTATCCTGCTACATTGTCAAATTCATTTATTAAGTCTAATAATTTTTTGATGGAGTCTTTAGAGTTTTCAATGTAAATATCATGTCATCTGTTAATAAGGATAGTTTACTTTTTCTTTTCCAATTAGGATGCCTTTTATGTCGTCGTCTTCTCTGATCGCAATGGCTAGTACTTCCAGTACTATGTTGAACAGGAGTGGTGAGAGTGGACATCCCTGTCTTGTTCCTCTTCTTAGGGGAAACGGTTTTAGTTCTTGCCTATTGAGTGTGATGTTGGCGATGGGTTTGTCGTATATGGCTTTTATTATGTGGAGGTATGATCCTTCTATTCCTACCTTGCTGAGAGTTTTTATCAAGAAAGGGTGTTGGATTTTCTCAAATGCTTTTTCTGCATCAGTTGATATGACTATATGATTTTTATCTCTCAATTTGATTATATAATGTATCAAGTTTATTGATTTGCAGATATTGTACCATCCTTGCATCCCTGGGATAAATCCTTCTTGGTCATGGTGTATGGTCTTCCTAATGTACTGCTGAAGCCGATTTGCTGGAATTTTGTTGAGGATTTTGGCATCTATGTTCATATAATTATATATTGCATATCTAGAATCGGCAAACCAGATAATTTCTATATCTGCACAGACAATGGAACAACAAAAAATATTGTATACCCACAAGCATTGTGAAATTAAACACATTAGAAACATGTGCTTTCTCTTTTCTTTCTTTTCCATTTAACCAGACTGAGCCACAGCAACGCATGGCCGGGTACAGCTAGTTGTCAATAAAACTATTGACACTTCCTTAAATTGTCTGTTAACTTATGGTAAATTACAGTAAGAGTTCATGTGGCCCCCACATATACCGTGGTTGCACTGTTTTAATTACTAATTAAATTATGACAAGGAAGTGACTAAAATATTAACTACCGCTGCTCTGCTTCTTCCATGAAAATAACCCTTTTTTCCTTCCAGATTCAGCACATGACACTTCATATCAGCTCCTCGCCTGAATGCATAACTCTTCAGTCTCAGGACTTGCAGAATTATTGGAATGCCGTCCTAAGGTTGTGGAGTTCTGCATTTATGGACATTTTGGCTCTATAGAGAAGCAGCCATTCCCTTACTCCCAAGGCAGCCTGAATGATTTTATCCCTAGGAAAGAAGCTTCCTTGTAACTTTCTTGTTACAACAGGAGCAAAACAATCATAAAAAGACTTGGGAAGTTTGATAGTTGGGAGATACCTTGTCAATAACCTGACCTTGGCATGCGGCTTCCTCAAATTTGCAGTGTCTTGGGGTCCCTCCTATGACTGTCTTGGACAATAAACACTTTCTATTAATTTTCAGTGATTTAATTTTCCATTTTATTTGTGTTACAGGTCCAGTTAAAAACAAGAAAAAGGGTAAGTTCCTGGTTTGATTAAATTGCTGTCATGTCCTGTCTTTTCTAAAATTAGAAGAAAAAGAATCCTGGCAGTGGGATTTCTATAGTCTGGTTGTCTGTTATTTTATTCATTCACATGGGATCTTCTTGAGTGTTATAGATTCCAAAGGGGGGGGGGGGGGGGGAAAAGAGATTGTTTCCAGTGGTTATCCACAAAACATAGAATTGCTTCTCTGGCAACATATGAATGTTGATTTTGTTTTTCTTTCTTGCTCCTTCATCCATACAATTCAGTTTATCTTTCATTTATTTTTACTGGCCCCTTTCCCCTGCCCTTTTTCTTTCTCTTCTTCACCCCCCCCCTTCCTTTATTAAGTCAGTGATCAGGTATTAATCAAATCCTGAGACAGCCAGTAGGGAGTAGGTATATATACTACCTCCTGAGGGATGTCAGTACCCTATTTCTTGGCCTCAAAGTTATCCCTATCGTATATTTCAGATAGTCAGGGAAGGTATTTCTTGCTTTGGGGTTTCAATATAATTTTCTCTGTAATGGAAAAACTAGGCTTGAGTAATACCCTGATCTTTTTTTAAAATATATTTTATTGATTTTTAACAGAGAGGAAGGGAGAGGGACAGAGAGTTAGAAACATCAATGAGAGAGAAACATTGATCAGCTGCCTCCTGCACAGCCCCCACTGGGGATGTGCCCGCAACCAAAGTACATGCCCTTGATTAGAATCGAACCTAGGATCTTTTAATCCGCAGACCGATGCTCTAGCCACTGAGCCAAACCGGTTTTGGCAATACCCTGATCTTTTAGCTTTTCAAAGAAGCTCTAGTTGAGCAGATCCATTATGCCATTGTTGGGTCAGTAAGTCTGTGGTGTGCTTGCCATAGGACTAGCCCAAGTGCTTGCTTATTTAAGGAGAACCCAAAGACAGAACAAGTTCCAAAATAGTTTACAAGATCAGGCAATATGGTTCACTCCTTGGGACTAAAGAACTATTGCAAAAGCAGATCTAAATATCTATTTGTTTATATGTTCTGACCTAGGAAGAAAATAGAGTGAAATTAATCACTTTTCATTAAAATGTTTTAAGTGAAATGATTCTGTCTGTTAAGATTTCTGGAGCTTTATAGAGTACATTATCATCCCCAGACTAGCCACAAAGACTGACTTCAGCTGCTGCCTATCATTTCTCTGAGCACAAGAGTGCTCTGGTGGGTTGAGGTGTGGTGGCCACATGAAAAAACCTGGCCTCCTGTGGACCTAAGCTGAACAAAGCTGGAAACCAGCCAGAGAGCTGGAGCTAGAGAAAAAACCTTTTTCTGTGGAGCCTGGGCATTCACCAAGAAAGTAAATTTGACTTTCAAACATGCAGTTTTTAACACTTGTCATATTCCTTTAAGACAGACATTTTAACAAACCCAGAATGCTCACCTGGCTTGAAGAAGGACACCCTCTGCTCCTAACACAAGCCTGGGGATGACTTGTGTTTCTAATAAGTAGACTTGAGAGCAATTTCTAATCACAGCTACTAGTATTTTTTTTCTACTTGCTTGTTCACTAGACAGTGAATAAGCATCTTATGTTTGTCAAAAGTAGAGATACAGAGATGAAAAAAATGGTGCCTTTCCTCAAAAATATCCCAGTGCAGTTGGAATCATGGGAAGTACACACATAAATAATTACTATCTAATCTAAAAATGCTGTCATCAAGGAATGAACAGCATGCTATGGGAGCACCAAGAAGGCGCAAGTACTAGTAGTTCTCCTTGGGAGAGTGAGAGACCAAACTCAGAAAAAAAGAGTATTTGACCTGTACTTGAAGGATGAGGGAGAAAAAAGAGAGGGGATGACACTCCATCAAAGGGAATAGCATACTCAGTTCTCACAAAAACATGAAAGAGCATGGCATGTTTAGGGAGAAGCAAGTAGGCTAGTGATTTCCCAGAGGGTATGGCATGTGTGTGGTTGAAAGCAGCTCCCAATCTCGGTGTTATCTGATGGGTGAGCCCTGAGAATGGCAATAGAAGACAGCTATCTAGGCCAGAAGCTCTGGAATTACATTCAGATTTCAATACCTCTGCCAAGGACTTGAGTCACTGCCTCACACTGCTACCTGTGTATGGGCCATTACTGGGAGGAGATGCATAGAGGACTTAAACATCTACTTTGGCTGAAAGTGATTTAGAAGCCATTTAATACAAATTTCTATGGACACAGTGAATAGGCACATGCCTGAAGAGTTCATTTAAATTTAGTTAATTTCCATTCTTGAATGAAATCTCTCTTTCTCTCTCTCTCTCTCTCTCTCTCTCTCTCTCTCTCTCTCTCTCTCTCTCTCTCACACACACACACACACACACACACACACACACACATTTTCACTCACTTGCTTTTAGTTGTTCTTTCAACTACTTGGACTTTGCTAATAGGTTAGCAAAATACCCTTTTGTAAAGGCTATATTTAAAAAGAATGTATACTTTCATCTAAGACTACAAAGGATAACTTTCTAAGTACAAAAGTCTCTGGACTTTTGTATCGGAAGTGCTCTGTTAAAATAAGGAAATCCGGAGAACAAATTCAATCCTCTAAAGCCATCTTCTTGGCCAAGGGTCATGCTCCTCTTTGGACCTACTTTCTGCCAGTATGCAAGCACTCTTGACTAAAACTTGGTGCTGAGGAGCAAAGAGGGCCAGCTGCAGAACTAGATCACAGCAAGAGCTTTTCCCTAAATGCCTTCTATCATTTTCATAAGTGAACATTCTTTGTTTACACTGCAACCATTATTCTCTTTGACTGGAGGAGTTTCTGGCTATAATTCCTCCAAAATTACATTAGTAATCACAAGAGAATCACAGTATTAACACCAAAGTTGTACTACCCACAGAAAACCCTCTAGCTTTAAAAATTACTGTGAGGCCTGCGAATTCTGGAACATAGAACAGCCCAATGTGCACCATCTTCTGTGTCTACACAGCCCAGAGAACAGTGAAGGAGAAGCAACCCTTACATTCAGACTAGGGTAGTTTCCTGACTACCAGTGGGAAGTCAGTGCTCCTTAAGGAACCTCAGTCTTGGGAGGAAATTTAGAGAAGTCACTGATGAAGAAACTAAGGCTCCCCAAGAGGAAGCAATTTGCCCAAAATGTGTCCATGGCGGATTTGGGAGCTATGGCTTTATCTCCTGACTACATGTTCTTTCCACGACACTAGTTGGGATTGAAACGGGCGCTGAATGAGACTTACTTGGAAGCTGCCCGAATCTGAAAGAAAATGGCTTTCTTGTTCAGCATCTTCAAATTGGCTAGATCTAGAAACTGGGAAGATACAATCTTTTGCTTCTAAGTGCAGTGAAAATGCTGAAGCTCCTACCTCTAGGTCTTTATGGCAACAGGGGCTTCCCTGGGAGAGAGGCTCTCAGGACCTTCCTTCTCCTGGCAAGGGGCCCCACAATGACCCCATTGTATGCTTAGACATGGACAACTGGCCTTTTGAATATGTTGCCATGGGAATTTGGTTTCTTAAGCATGCAGCATTATTCTTAAAGGAGAACATGCTAAATCAGACAAGATTTTTCTGTCTATAAGGCTGCAGAGCAGGGAATTGGGGAGCAGTAAGGAGGTACCGTATTTTCCGGCATATAAGACGACTTTTGAAATGAAAAACAGTCAACGGAAAAAAAAATATATCGGGAGGTCGTCTTATACGCCGAGTATATACCGAAAAACGTATCCATATGCCGCTAAACGAATTTTCCAACTCGATCCCGCACCAATCACTGCAAGGCTGCTCGGACCGCCTCTCTAACTCAGCCAATCCAAGCAGGCTTTTTATGCATGCAAATTATACATGTTCTATAGCCGAAGCTACACTGTGTTCTAGTAAAAAGCCTGCTCAGATTGGCCAGAATCAGAGAGGCGGTCTATTAAAAAAAGAACTGGTGTTGCCTCGGAAGTGGGAGGTAGTCTTATACAGCAAATATAGACCTAAACCTATGTTTTAACTGTAAAATTAGGGGGTCGTCTTATACGCTGGAAAATACGGTATGTGAGACTCGAGGGTTGTATTTAAAACTAAGAAAGTACCACCAGTGAAGACATTGTGGTGGAGTCTGATAAAAGGTTTCCATTCCTGGGACTTCCACCAAACTGAGAAAATGGGAAAGGGAGGAAGGAGACAGCCACCTGTGACTACCTACAGTGCTTGAATGGGCTGCACAGAGCAGAGGAACCAAGCAGGATGAGCTGCAGGTTTGGGTTCAGTACTGCAGTATGCTCTTGGGGTTGTCAGGAGGACTGGAACTTGAAATAGGAAGATCAGGACTGTCTGAAAGGATAGTGAGGACAAAAAGGGGAGGATTGGGTGGGCTTGATTAATAATACATTCAAGAATAGGAGAATAGGGCCTCTGAAGAAAGACTGGGAAACTGGATTATCTATAAAATAGAGGTTAATAGGTGACAGTGTCTTTGAGAATACAAGGATTGTATGATGGTAACTATTCTTCTCTATCTACACAAAGACCTTAAACTGTTGTAGAAGGGATTTCAATTAAATATACAGAAAAACTTCCTAACAGTGAGGGGTAATGAATGTTGGGACATGAGAGTGTGCAGAATTTCCTTCCCCAGAGATCTTTAAAAATAATACTGAGAGATCAGCTGAGAAAGTAAAGTCTGCTGCCTCCTCCTCAGCTCTTTCTACTCCTAGCCTCTCCTTCCCCTTCCTCTCTTTCTCCCTCCCTCCCATTCCTCATTCCCAGCAAGCACTTCCTCGATGACACCAGTTCCTGCACATCCTGCCTCCCATAGGAAACCTTCCTGCAGCTGATGTTACTCCTAAGGGCAGGCTGTCCTCCTAGCTTTCTCTTCCATCTGCATCAATCCACCAAACAGGAAAGTAAACATGAAAGCCACTCTCTTTGACAATAGCCCAATTCTCAGTATTCTGAAAACTGGCCACTTGGTAATTCAGATCCTTTGGACTCAGCTGAAATATAACATCTTTTATGAAGCCCTTCCTGACCTCTTCAGTATTTTGTCCCCACCATGAATATGGCACTTCTGCTTTCCTGTGACTGTGTCTGTCTCCTCACTAGACTGAGCTCCTTGAGGACCATTTATTTCTATTATCTTCAAACCCAATTCCATAAATGATTATTCATGAAAGGAATGGGGGGCAGGGGGAGAGAAATGTGTGACAAAGGTGTTCACCTCTTTAATAGCAGGAATTCTCAGAGTGCTGACTATTTGTCATTGCAAGTCCATTGAACTGATAGTATATCCTCACTCAATAACTACAAATAGAACACTGACTCTTGTTTTTCAGGAAAGAAGGCAGGACCTCCTGGGCCAAATGGCCCCCCAGGACCTCCAGGACCACCAGGACCCCAGGGACCCCCAGGGATTCCAGGGATTCCTGGAATTCCAGGAACAACTGTTATGGGCCCTCCTGGCCCTCCAGGTCCTCCTGGTCCTCAAGGACCTCCTGGCCTCCAAGGGCCTTCTGGTGAGTTCCTATTTTCTCTCCCCCCCACCCCCAAAGGCTTCTTTACCAGTACTTTAATAGAACAGGGATGGGTTATCCTGGGAGCAGTTTCAAATGCTTCTGGTGGTATGGCTGTGCAATAAAAAATACAGGTCTCCTAGCTCAGTGTAAAATTAGAGATTAAACAAGCCAGTAGGATCTGACCTGCTCTAACTTCTTGTTTATACCAACCTGTCCAGGAGACACCCGTTCTTGACCTGTCTCAACCCTTCTATTACAAGTTCTCCTTTACTTTAGGCCAGTGGTCAACAAGTTCATTGGTCAACAGAGCCAAAAATCAATAGTACAACGATTGAAATTTCTTTTGAGAGCCAAATTTTTTAAACTTAAACTTCTAACGCCACTTCTTTAAAATAGACTTGCCCAAGCCGCGTGGTATTTTGTGAAAGAGCCACACTCAAGGGGCCAAAGAGCTGCATGTGGCTCTCGAGCTGCAGTTTGCTGACCACGGCTCTAGGCCTCCCTATAATGGGCTAGTAGACTCATATGAGCCTGAGACAGAGGCCCTGAGGATTCACTGAACTTCCTGTAGGAGATGGATTGGGTCTGCTCTGATTGCCAGCATCTAATTCCTGTGCTGATGTTGATATGGGGAGGAATGTTCAGGACTGGGCAAGATACCAGCCCTACAATAGTCTTATCCCATAAATTCTAAGATCACCTTCTGAGAGGTAGATAAGTAGTTGCTGAGAGTCAAGGAGTTGAAAACTTATGAATCACTCAGGCTATGGGAGAAACAAAACCAGGCATCAAGACCATCCTGTCGAGGAATCAAGTGCTCCTTGTACTACATCCTTAGCCAACCGCATTACCCGTTCGAATAGCATTCCGTCTCTTGGCATCTTTCCCTGTAGGCCCAGAAGGGCATCCAAGAAATATAGATGCAGATCCAAAACTACCTAACTGGATTTGACAGGAGTCAAATTGCCTGGGCTTGGGCCAGTTGTTATTTCCCTCTCCTGCTCTCTTTCTGTATCCTGAGGTTTTAAAGAAATGAACTCTTTACATCCGACTTCTCTAGGTCAACAAATTCTGCAGCAGGACTCAGATTCTTTGATTCATAGTTCAAACAGGAATGATCAGTGTTACCGTGGCCACAGGAGATGGAGTTGGATTTTTTCCCATTTAATCTTTCCATGAATATTAATCGAGCACTTTCTATGTGTAAGAGTTATTCTTGTTCTCATGTAGTTTATGTCCTAGAGGCAGAAAGAGATGATTAAAGAAGCAGGATACTTACAAATGGCAATGCACTCTATGAAGAAAATTAATAGAAATCAAGCAAAAGGCTAAAGACTTGTCTCAGGGTTACACAGTGACAGGAATGCTCTTTCATCTGTCTCTGTGGGTGTCAGTAGGACTTGCTAGTCAGGGACAAGTGACAGACGAAAAGGGTGTCCTCTCCCATTGCAAGGCTTGGCTGCAGGGATCACAGCTCCCTGCCATTGGCTCCCTGGGTGAGGAGAAAGGGAAGTAGGAAGAGTCAGTCTTCTAATTGGCCTGTCCTCTTTCACAGGTGCTGCAGATAAAGCTGGAACTCGAGAGAACCAGGTTGGCTGGGCATTGCTCTCCCTGGGGAGGAGGGAAGGCCACAGACTAGAGCCACCTTTGACTTTGCCACCTATTAAATTTGCTCAGGCTTTATTTTGTGAGGATACCCTGGAGGTTCTGAGTTTTTTTTTTCCCCCTCAGAGCCACTCCTATCTCTCTGAATACAAAAGCTTTGCCCCAGGGTCTGTCTTTAACTCAGGGAACTGAGTTCTCCCTTGGCCATTTTCCCCATTCCACAGGAGACTGAGGGTTACCATATCCACACATGGTAGACAGGTAAAATGAGCTACTGGCAGGCCCTATTCACCTTGGCCTCCAACTCCACAGGCCACTCCAGACACCATGTCAGCACCAGACCACCTGGGATCAGGAGCTTAGAGGGTTAAGAGTACCTATGTCCTCAGCCAACCAGCTCCAGGCCATCCCCAGCCTTAATTGCCTGAAGGGCACCTCCCTAGTCTTTGAGCTTCCTAATCTGTCTTTATTGGCAGGTTCTGCTGCCTGGCCTTGTTTCATCTTAGCCTCCCTCACTACAGCTGTTTGGCCACAATTAAACCCACATAGCAGCTGCATAGAGCGTGATGGCTTCCAGGGCAATTTTGTATCCATCACCTCATTTGATCTTCAAACATTCTGTGAGAGAAGCCAGAAATTTCCTAATCCCCACATTACAGTAAGGAAAACAAGGCTCAGATGCATCATATTTGGTAGCGGTCACATAGCTAGGAAGTGGCCAAACTACAAAATCATATTATCCTCTTGTCACACTGTGGTCACTAGCATCCTAGGATGGGGAGAAGGATCCGAATTGGAATCAGAAAGGAGACTAGAAGTCAGAGGTGGAAACTGGTGGCTAAGTGAGCAGTCATTTCTCACAGTGGTTCTTCTCTCTATCCTTGTCATCCTCCCAGCCAGCTGTGGTGCATCTGCAGGGCCAAGGGTCAGCAATTCAAGTCAAGAATGGTAAGAGTCAGAGTCAGCTCTGTAGATAAGAGGAGCTGCTCCTCCTCTTTACTCCCAGCTTCCAAATAATCACCCAGACTAGTTACTCCCAGACCCCTGAGATACCCTGGGCACTAGGGGGCCATTCTCTATTCCATTTTGCCCTCTGCTGTCTGTCCTGGGTAATTGCTTGCACCACGACCAGCTGCAACACCCAAATTGCAATTAGAAACACTGGTGAGGAAGCTGAAAGGGACTTGAGACTTCATTTAGATGAAATGGAAATGTTAGGAGATGGAAGTGCTGTCAGAGTCACCATGGGATATGTGTAGTTTGATCAACATTCTCACAATACAAATCAGAGAAGGGAAAAACTACATGACTTCAAATAATTGTCTGGTAGGTCTATACAGGGAGGTGATGAAGGGCGGAGGGGGCATGTTAGATTCTCCAGGAAGTATGCCATGATAGTGTCTATAAAAAGGGAGAACAGGTGTAATGAGGTTAAGAAACACCAATTTAATGTAATTCCTGCTTTTAGGAGATGGGGAAACAGAGTCCCAGAGAGATTGGACAATACCATAATAAATCATAGTGCCTTATATTTGTATGGTACTTCACAGTTTTCAACATGTTTTCTTTTTTTATTTTATTCGATCTTCACAACAACCCTATGAGGTAGGTATTAGCTCCTTCTTACAGAGCCAGAAACTGAAGCTCAGAGAGGTTAATTAATTCACCCAAGATTTCAGTTAAGTGTAGAAGCTTGGATTCAAAACCACATCTGGCTGACTCTTTCCACTGCACTATGCTACTTCAGTAATGTATGTGTACACACCACTAAGTGATTAGGTTAATTTTCTTCCCCAAAGAGACATTCACTAAATAAAAATGTTTGAAATAATGTCCAATCCCCAAGATGCACAGAGCCTTAAATGCATGAACCCCCAGGAGCCTTGGGAAGCAGCAAGCCAGTCAAGATGCCAGATGCGTACGGAGCTTGGAGGGGAAGGGAAGGGCTGGGCTGAGAGTATGGACACAGTAAATAAATGTTAAGGAACCTACTACATGGGGACAGCTTTGAAGAAGCCAGTCAGTTTCGATCTGGCTGGGCTCAGCTTTCTTAATGACTGGGCTTAGCTACATCTGGGACTACCATCTGGATGCGTGCCTCAGAAGTGTAAGTAGAAGCAGAATGGCATCAAAACCCAAGCAGTCCTGCTGGAACCAGGTGCCTTAGGCCCTAGGACTCTGGGTGACCCATGACCACCATCTGTCCAGGAGGAGTGAAACAGACAAGAAATAGACATGTTTGGGTGTCTGGATGGGTGGCCTCTGTATTTATTCTGTGCCAGAATCTACTGATTTTGCTCCCATTAGCACATCACAAGACTAGTCCCAGCCCCTCTAGGCTAGATCCCAGTAGCAGTCTCTGCTAATCTTCACTTGTACCAGGAGCAGAAGTGAGGAGCTAAGGGTAGTAGGACATAAGCAGAGTGTATTTGAAGGGGTTGAACCAAGGAATCTCTTCCTAACTCCTATCCCATCATCACCTCAGGGGAAGATGGTCACCTTTTCCAGAAGGCCAGTTTCCTCATGCCTTAAAGAGGCAGGCATCCTGAGACTAGCCAAGGATGGATGTTCAAAACATAACTTCTTGGGTAGAGAACAGATGGCTTTTCGGGGGAAAGGCCCCATAGGCTTGGACTTCCTTCTCTTGTGGTGGGAGGGCACCCCTCCCCCCGCAGGATGGAAAAGGAGCTCTTCATCCTCACATGCTGGTTCTGTGTTGGGCCAAGGACAAGGCAGTATGGTAGCCCCTCCACCCCAAATGGGGTGGGACTGAGAGACAGAAGCTTTGCCAGGGGTGCGTCAGCTCCTAGACACCGTTGCCATCCTCTTGACTGGTTCTAATGCTGCCTGGCAGTCTTCCCTTCCCTCTCATAAATACCCTTCTCCCCCATGGGCCTTATTACTGGTAGTTACACTCTCTGGCTGCCATGAAGTTACACCCCTAATCCCTAAGGTTCTCCAGGTCGACAATTCTTGGGCTCAGTGGTTTCCTGGGGGCCCAGAGAGGCTTTTCAGAAAGGAGTGGGTGTGGAGGAATCTCTTATGGAGGACAAAATCCATGAACCTATGACAGGAAAGAGATTGAGGAATTATGGCTGGTGAAATCAACTGGCATTATAAGAGCTAGCCTGCCACTCGGTGTCTGAATTTTGCCTGTGCAGGCCCCAGAACAACAAAGAAAATTGGTCTGTGTGCCCACTCTCTTCTTACTCCCCACCTACAATTCTAACTACAAGGTGTTTCCCTGACTCCTCCTCCTACTGGATGGAGGAGTCAGGGAAAAAGAGGAAGACAAAACAGGCAGACCCCCTGAGCTTGCAAATGCTCTTCTTAAAGCTTGGCCTCCTGGGCTACTCTGGTTGCATAGGGATGGGGTGGAGGTTGTGTACAACTTTATAATTCTTGTTTCTATTGCCCAGATTATTCTGACATGTACTGAGTGACTGCCCTTCTCTCATACTGAGATCTTTCAGGTGGAGTGCTCAATGACTGGTCTCGCATCACTATGAACCCCAAGGTGTTTAAGCTACATCCCCGCAGCGGGGAGCTGGAGGTACTGGTGGACGGCACCTACTTCATCTATAGTCAGGTAGAAGTGAGTACGGTCTTAGGCCTAACTCTTCTTATATACAGAATGCAGATCCCGTGCAGGCCACTTAGGGGTCCTGTGGAGCCAGCCAAGACCAGCCTGCTTTGGTGGGTGAAGGGCTGGGGGAACCATATTGGGAGGGAGTTGAAAAGAGGAAAGAGAGAAGGGAATGTTTAGATTTTTTCCTAGCCATATATCATTGAAAAACTGAAAAGAAGTCCCTCTCACACCCTGGCATTGATTCCCTCCTGCAGGGCACCAGGCCCTTGCTCTTCCCCATCCCACCCCACCCCCAGGTTATTTGGTTCTACTGCCAAACTTGAACTCTATCTCAGTACATTCTTTGAAAGTTAGTTCCAGGGATGCTGAGAACCCATTCCCCAATGTTGCTGGGTCTGCAATGAAGAATGCTCCTGTGGACTTGCTCTCAACCTCAAAAAAAATTCTGACTATCTTTCCTTGTTCTTCCTCCCATTTATTTCTCTACCTTCTGTTTCTCTGTTATTCTTGCCTCCTTCCTGTTATCATTCTCCCAGCCCTCTTCTCCCTCTGTTTTTGTCCTTGTCCTGCCCAGGCATACTGCCTATCTGCTTCCACCCCTGTTGGTTGCCTCCACTGGATGGCTTCTATGACCTAGGAGGTAGATGAGCCTTGAGTTTGGGGCTTCTATGGGATGGGCAACAAGCAGGCAGATTATAGCAGGTCTGTGGAGCCAGCAGAAGGGCCTCACAGGGGAGTGGCCAGAGAAGGTGGGTTAATAGGTATTTGCTAAGTCCATCAAGCATCCTGGCAGAGATTGAGTGCTGACCCAAGAAAGTATATGGCACCAGAATGCTCTGATCCCTCCTCTAGAGCCCATGGAGGAAGCAACCTTTGATAGTGATTTAGGGTGAGAGATGAGGGTCCCAATCCCCAGGGGGTACATAAATGTATTATAATTCCAGTGTCCTATGGAGCATTTGTCTTAAGCTCCATTTGGTAGGGGATCAAAGCTTGGTAATGAAAGATGAATTAATTTTCTGGGTCTAGGAGATAATTGGGAGAAGCCTCAGGCTTTGGACACCATGCAAACTGGGAAAATCCCCTTAACACCAGGCCATTGAACATAGGTTCGAACTTCCTCCTGGCCACAAAATAAAGTTAGGTGCCTGGGTTTTGCCCTTCCAAATTCTTGATCTCATTTGTAGTGGATAGCTCTCCATCTCTCTGGATCTGTTTCCTCAATTGTCAAATGAGGGGGCTAAGAGACACTGAGAATGAGTGAGAGAAATGCAGCAGGGGCAGGGACGGGCTTCGAAAGAGCTGAAGAAATGGCAAGTCATCACTGTTCCCTCTCTGGAAAATCAGTGACTTCTAACTTTATCTGCAAATAGTCTTTGGGGCTTGCAACTAGAAGTTAGTTTGCATTCATTTGTGTCCATAGCCAGGGTAGAGGAGGGTGGGTAAGGCGTAGGGGTGCTTGGGAGAGGTAAAGAGATAAATAAGGCAGGGTTCTTGCCCTCAGAGTTTACAACTGTTGTGCTGTTGAAAGAAAGATTTGCTCAGGCACCTGAGCCCAAAAGAGTAGGGGAAAGACAGAGTATAAGCCCATCACCCCTCCTTTCCTATCAGCTAGCTAGCATGCCTTCAGGTGGTATTGTCCTTCCATGAGGTCTACTGGCAGTTTGTCATGACAGGGGAGGGCCCCATCCACCCTCTTTCCCTCTCCCCCAATCCCTTCTTGTTGCCTCTCACCCAGGTATATTACATCAACTTCACTGACTTTGCCAGCTATGAGGTGGTGGTGGATGAGAAGCCCTTTCTGCAGTGTACCCGCAGCATCGAGACAGGCAAGACCAACTACAACACTTGCTACACCGCAGGCGTCTGCCTCCTCAAAGCCCGGCAGAAGATCGCTGTGAAGATGGTGCATGCCGACATCTCTATCAACATGAGCAAGCACACCACTTTCTTTGGGGCCATCAGGCTGGGCGAGGCCCCTGCATCCTAGATTCCCCCTATTTGGTCCCTGCCTGTGCCCCTGCCCTAGGTTTGGGAGCCAGGATCCCCAGAACCTCGAAGTGCTGCTGTGGAGTGAGGCATGGGTGTGATGCAGCTGCAGAGAGAAAGGCCCCAAGGCTATTTATTCCCCAGTGACTCTAGGACAACAAGGCCTGCTTGCCTTTCCCGAATGACCTTGAGTTATCAAGACAGTTGCTGAAGCCCCAGGGTTTACATGAAGCAGAAGTGGCTTCCCTGTCTCCGTGTTGACTGGCTTAATGGCATGACTCTTCAATCTCAAGGCCCCTGATATCAAAGTTGTCATTTGTTGCACTAAAGTGAGGGTCCTGGGAAGCAGAAAGAGAAAGCAGAGGTATCCTCCAGACTGGGGAGTGAACCCTCTTTGGGGTGGGGTGGGGTAGGGTGATGTGAGGTGGGAGTGGGATCAGAGGGGAAATGTCTGTGCTTGTGGCAGAGACCAAAAAATAAACCTGCTGAGCAGGTGACCTGGGAAGTGGAAGCATTCCTGCTGCTCTGCCTGCAGCCAGCCAGCAGGTCAGAGCTCCTCCCACATAGGTAGAGCCAGTGCAGCAACTCTCCAGGCTTCGGGGACAGGAGGTTTGCTCTTCCTTGGAGTGATTACAGGCAATGACCACAAACCTGCCTACATAGGAACCTGAAGCCAGGCTTGGGGCCACATGTCTTTCACTTTGTTTACAGCTGTAGGCTCAGAAAACTCCCTGGGATCCCTCCCAATTGCCCCCTTTCCCAGCCTGACTAGACCTCCTATGTCTTTCTCCACAGAGCTTACCTCTGTCTGAGACAGGTGCCTAATCTGGGACCTGCGCTTATGTGATTCTGGGATACTCTTGAGATTAACTGGGCACAAAGAGAATCTTCTTCCATTTAATAAGCAACACAATATTTATCTAGTTGATTTGTGTCTAGCATCAAAGTGTTGGACTGGGTGACCTCCAGAAGTCCCTTCAAATCCCAATATTTAGGCACCTCCTTTAATAGCCTACTAAAATCCCCAACCCTCACCTGCCCCTGGGCCTCAGCAAGGCAGAGCTTTTCTATTAGACCTAGAAAGGAGAAGAGGTGGGGATAGGACAGGGGTTTTTCAAGTGGCTTCCCTATCTTGAAGCCAAGCGGCCAGTCACCGAAGCCTTATCTGAAAGGGTAGCAGCTGATGCCCTGCTTACCTCCTGTCCTGTTCTCTGGCTTCAGAAAGCCACATAACAGCATGGTCAGTATGGATTCCAGTGCTGCTTCCCTGAATCAAGGCTTGGGAAAAGCTGGGGTCTAGGCATTCTGGCAGGGTTCTGCCCTCTAGTCAGGCCCAAAGATACCATTACCACCTCCCCAAGCTTCCCAGAGATCATATGGTGGGACCATACAAGAGCCTTATTTCTAAGTGCCTGGGCCCAACCTGGCTCCTTGGGTACATGGTCCAACCCGAAGCTGGGAAGGCCTGTCTTATATAGTCTGCTACTCTTGCTTATGAAATAAGAAACAAGTTACTTTTGAGGAGGTGGGGAATAGGCTTCTTTGGGCAGCTGAAGTTTACCAGGAAAAACAGGTTCCGAAGTTGTGCTTTCTCTTTCTAAGCCACTACACTGCTGGGCCCTTCAAGGATCAGGGCAGGAGGCACAGCCATTGTCTGGTTGCTAATGTCAGGTGAAGCGAACATGAGGAACGGGTTTGGCCGGGCTCTTACAGAGTGCCTTGGACAGTCCTCAGGTGTAGCAGGAACAGATGAGAATTTCTCCTTAAAACTTGGAGAGTACTTTATTATCTCCTTTGATATTATAAATCCTATTGTTTTGAGGAGGCTCAAGAGAGTTTAAGTGCTTTGACCAGGATCTCACCCACTGAAGTCACAGGCTGGGGCTTCATCCAGCCAGTTTGACTCCAACACTATTCCATTGCACCTCAGCTTTGTGTTGAATCTGGGGTCCTGAGGGAATCCAATAAAAATGGTAATATAGACCCTAAATCCATGTGGGTTCTAGGGAGGGACCCTGAGATGCTCATTTTCAAGTTGTCTTGATTGTCAGAGGCTCTGTGGCAAAAGAGTAGGGCATTTCCTTGGGAAACAGACATCAGACTTAGAGCTTTTGTGTCCAGAATAACTGTCTTGACACCAGGTCCAAGCAGCAGGTACCGGTACCCACAGAACTTAAACCCCTTATGTTCTTTCACCCACCAAATAAACCAAGCAACCATTACATATGGAGCCCCTACTGCAAGTGAGGTCCTCCTTTGTTACCCTACGGATGGGCTGCAGGAGCTGGCCACTCCCCATAGCTAAGTGACTCCTTATCTCTTTCACCAAACCATACAGGTCTTTGTACTCCCAGGGATGGAGGGAAGAGGGAGGACTGGTTCCAAAAAGCTGTGATAAGAGGAAAGAAAAAGGTTTCCTAATTGTGGCCCTAAAGGACATTCTGATACCTATCCTATTCTCCAGATGATAGGGGAGACAGGATTCCCATAAACCCTTTATTCATTAGGAACCCTCAAAGGGAACCCGAGACTGAGGGAGGGGAGGGGGGAAGCAATTGGTAGCTGGGGAGCCTTGCTGAAGTGAAGTTATTGACAAAGTAGTGAAGCAATTTACTAATAAGAGAATATGGACATAGATTAAGCATTTGAATTTATGCTGACATGAGTTTACCAGAAGGCCAAGTCTTGCATGGAGAACAGGACAAGGGCATTTGTGAGCAGGTAGATAATAGGTTTGAAGGAGAATTGCATGGCAGGAGCCTCTGCCAGTTGCTTGGGCTTCAACAACCAAAACTGACACAAAAATCAGCTGTCGGGGCTGCTCAGTTACTGGTTCCCTGGAAAATGTAGTCTTTGCCTTATTTCCCCTTCATCCATCCAGAACCAAATTTCTTTTGCTGAGCAGGAAAGGACTAGAAACCCTGCAAGAGAAAAAGATTTTGATCCACACGAGATTATGTGCATTTTATGTAAGTTCTGATGGATGCAAATCGATTCAGAGAAATTGAGTGCTAGAAAGGACCTGAGAGGAAATCTAGCCCAACCTACATTCTACCCCATGTTACTCATGTGGAGACTGAGGCCCAGAGAGAGAAGGGGCCTGCCCACAATGAATGAGCCACGACTCAAGACTCAGCAGAGTGAGGGGGTGGAGCAGTCCCTGTCCCACACAGCCCCCTTCATTCTTTCACTCCCAGACTTGAGGCTAAAAGTGAAAGCCCCCTTGAGGAGCCTGGGCAGGCAGGGAGAGAGAAGCTACAGCCTTCATCAGAACTCTTGCTCCTCTTAAGGTGCTCTCCCAGCTCCTGCCTCTGGACTGGCCCAATACCTGAAAGTCCTGAGGCCACCTTGGCACTGCCTCCGGCCTGCTCCTTCCTGGAGTCTCCCCTAGGCAATGTGAGCACAAAGAAGGAACTAGATTTTTTTCTTTTATTCTGTGTCAGAGATCACTCCAAGGGGAGTCAGGGTGTATCATTTCTTTATTTAAAAAGCTTCCAGCTGCGGTGTAGGTGTGGACTTTGTTGTGAGAGTGGCCAGGAGCAGGCCAAGTGCTGCTTTGGGGGTCAGCATCCAGTGTGAAATACTGTGTATATAAACTATACATAATGTATATAAACTGGGATGTAAGTTTGTATAAATTAATGGTTTATTCTTTGCAAATAAAGCTTTCCCACCCCCCTCTGTTTTTGAAATCAGCTTGAGCAATTCCTACACACTAGATGCTTTTATGCAGGTGCTGCCTATGAGCCAGAAGAAAGCCCAAGGCACCCATTTCAGAGGGGCAGCAGAAGGAATGTAGTCTGAACTTCCTGGCAGGTACCTCACCTTCTCTCTGCCCCAGACCACATGCCCTGTCCCCTTTACCTTAGGTCTTTGCACTATGTACAGTCATTACATGAGGCAGGCACCCAGGGCAGAGGCAGCAGGTCACACTGGTAACTATACAGGATGTCCTAGACCCATGGTCGGCAAACTGTGGCTCGCAAGTCACATGCGGCTCTCTGGCTCCTTGAGTGTGGCTCTTCCACAAAATACCATGGCCTGGGTGAGTTTATTTTTAAGAAATGGCGTTAGAAGAAGTTGTAAGTTTAAAAAAATTGGCTCTCAAAAGAAATTTCAATTGTTGTACTGTTGACATGTGGCTCTGTTGTCTAATGAGTTTGCCGACCACTGTCCTAGGCCAAACTGACAGGTTGATGTGGATAAATCATTAGGACCAAAAGGAACCCACCCAAGAGGAATGGAACAGCAGGCTGAAGGCCAAATTGTGTAGCCTGCCATTGCCAACAATTATTGGGCTAAGAGTCTGAGAGCCTCACCATCCAGGAGATGAGCTTTATGGTGGCTGGAAGCCAGGCACTCACTTCCATCTGAAGCAAGATGGCTGACTTAGACAAAGGGCAGAGTGAGAGAACCAGACAAGGTTAAGCAAGTTGCTGGGGGTGGGGGGCAGGGGAGAAGACAGGAAATTAAACCAGACCTGACCCTTCTATTATAGCATTATGAGGTGGAAGCTGAGTGTGGACCAGGGCTAGTAGAGGGTAACAGTTGCTTAAATTTTCAAAGGACTGCTGATAAGATATTCCACTATACACTTTCTTTTAAACATTGAGGTGCCAGCTTTAGGGCACTTTTGCTCAAGGATAGGAAATGGGGAAAATGGTTGCAGGAGAATCACTTTGTGTAGCTTCCAATTTTACAAAGTTCAATCGCATTCAATATCATTTGATCGTCCCAACAGCCTTTGAGGTAAGCATATAAGGGATCATTATTCCCATTTTACAGATGAGGAAACTGAGGCTCTGACTCACATGGCTTGAAGGTGGTGGATCTTACACTCAAAGCCCACTGGATCTCAAGGCATCCAGTCCTGCAGGAGTCTCGATAACAGGAGATGGGGCTGCTTGAGAGTTACTGATAGAAAGGTGTCCAGGGGCCGAAACCGGTTTGGCTCAGTGGATAGAGTGTCGGCCTGCGGACTGAAAGGTCCCAGGTTCAATTCTGGTCAAGGGTGTGTGTACCTTGGTTGCGGGCTCATCCCCAGTAGGGGGTGTGCAAGAGGCAGCTGACTGATAATTCTCTCTCATTGATGTTTCTAACTCTCTATCCCTCTCTCTTCCTCTCTGTAAAAAAAAATCAATAAAATATATTTTTAAAAGAAAGAAAGAAAGAAAGAAAGAAAGAAAGAGAGAGAGAGAGGGAGGGAGGGAGGGAGGGAGGGAGGGAGGGAGGGAGGGAGGGAGGAAGGAAGGAAGGAAGGAAGGAAGGAAGGAAGGAAGGAAAGAAAGAAAGGTGTCCAGGGATCCTGGACCCTCAAACATACTAGTTAGAGCACAAGCAGTATCAGAAGGCTGGATTTTTATTCTGTCCATTGTTTACCTCAATGCTGACAAATGGGCACCTAAAAGGGCACCTCTCCCCAGGGCCTTGACGGTCTCTTAAAACCATCTCCCTTATAGCCCCAAGGAAAACACGGAGAAGCACTGGAAGGAGGACAGAAATGAAGGGGGAAGTGGGATTTAGAAAACAACCAAATGGACAGCCCCCCCCCCCCCCCACAATAAGGACTGGCCAAATCAGGAGCAGAAGCCCCATAGGTGACTTCTGGCCCATTTGCAGTTCCACACTTTTCCAGCCAGGCTAAGTAGTTTTCAGGGATATCTGTGAGACTATCACCAGCTCCTGGGTCTCTGAGAAGACAACAGGGTCTTATGCAGGGCTTCCCTACAGGGTGCACGGTATTTGTCCACCACTTTCTGGCTCGTTTTCTCAGTTTTGGGCACTGGCAGAGGCTCCCTGACTGCCAGAGAAGACACTCCTCAAAATGGGCCTCAACACTCCAGCTCACCCTTACCACCCCAAAACCACCCACCCTGGCCAGCCTCCACACCTCTAGACACAGTCAAAGCCAAGACTCAGCCTCAGAACTGGATCTACATCCCAGACAAGGCTGCCAACAGAAGGGCCCACTCACCAGTGGTGGTTACAGGCTGGGCAAAGGGCAGAAGGCCCCAGGAGTTCTCAATGAAGCCATGCTCATTGAAAGCACAAGGGTAAATGAGAGCACACTCTGGAACCACTTCTGGAAGTGATTGACCAAACCTCCAGCAGTGAAAATGTGCTGATGGTAAAGGTCTACCTCAAAGGCAGAGGCAGGGATTAGAGCCACCCTTTGGAGCAAAGGCATGTCCTTTGAAAGCCAGAAAGGTAGGGACCCCGTTGAAAGCCAGACATGCTAACCACCAGTGGTCTTGGGGTCTGCCTATACGTTCCGCAGCCGCTATCTTAGCTGGGCCTATGTCCAGGCCAAGTGTGAGGGCCTTGTGGCCTACCCCAGGCTTCCTGTGGGGACAAAGCAAGTCCTAACTCTCCTGTGAACCCACAGGTCTGAAACAGGAAGGAAAATTTTAAGAAACATTTCATTTACCTTTCTTCTCTTTTACCCACGTGGCAAGTTTGGCTTTCTCTGAGAGGGAGTTTCAGCCACTCACCTTTCATAGAGGGTCTGGACCAGATGAAAAGCTAAAGTGAGGAACAGCAGGCTCAGGACTGGCCCTCTAGTATTTCTTCAGAAGCAGAAATGCCTCTGGGAGGTGGCCCAGGCTCTACTCCAATACAAAAGCTTTGCCATTCCCGTTTATATATAATTTCCTCCAAATCCCTTCCTCCTTCCCTGCTGGACTTTTGGAAAAGCTCTCCCTAATAGGGACCAGGACTTTCCTTACCCATGCTGCAGGGTCTTGCATACAAACTCAGTCCAGTTCCTCAAGAACAACATGGGTAAGGGCTTCCCTATAGAGTGTGTGTTATCTGCACTCCACCAGGCCACTGACTACCACAACCAGCATGTTGCCTGTACCCTTTTTGGCAAGCAGATAGTCCATGGAGAACTGGCTCACAGAGCAGGCCCCTGGGCAGGCAGAAAAATTCAGAAGATCATTGGCCACTTCCCAAACCTCCTAGCCTCCATCCCTACCTCTTCACAGGAGGGGAGAGCTTCATCCCAGGCAGGCGAGCCTAGGGCTACTGTTTAGGACCAGAGAGGATCACACAGTTGATCCCCTCTGATCCTGCTCTTACCTACTCCCCCAACACTTTTTCCTCAGGAAGCCATTTTTATTTCGGCTTTTATGTCCTAGGAGCCAACTCACCTGACAATATGGCATAGTCTCTGAGGAAAGGCACCCAGAAAAAGGTTCCCAGGGTGAGTACATAAAGGGAGATGCCAGGAAAGATCTTGATGAAGCCTAAGGCCTTGGTGACAAAGTTGCCAAAGCATGAATGAGACATGAACCCAGGAGGGTGGCAGACAAGGATGTAGTTGTGGTGGGGGGCGATGCCACGAGTCTTCCAAAGGTGTGGAAGAAAGAGCAGTCAGAACAGGTATGGGATGGGGAGAGAAAATGACTCTTCCGGTCATAGACCTGGAAGGGCAAGGGCCATGCAAGCTGGGCAATGCACAACTCCAGGAAGGTGTTTTCCTCTCCAGCTGTGTGCCAGGCAGTAAGCCCCAGGATCTGCCCCAGCACTGCTCTGGGCTGCATTCAATGGCCGAGAGTCAGTGGTGGGCCATACCAATCTGGCCACCAGAGATTTGGAATTCTGGAAAGACAGAGCAGGAACAGTTCTCCTCAAACCACCACGTTCCTGCCCACATGTCTGGGAAGCATCAGCAGAGGGAATACTAGGGAAAGAGAAGACCCACCTTCAGCTAGGTTAGAATAGTTAGGACAGACCTAATGGAGATGACCCATAGGGAGCCATACTCAGAATTATTACTGGGCTCGGTTTTTAAACAGCTGTAAATAAGACTGGGGGGGGGGGGGGAGGGTCAAAATAAAGGTGAGAAAAGATAAAAAACACTTTTAATTGAACATGGCAGAGTGAACACAAGTTTTTATTTTGACTCCTCCCTGGTGCCTCATGAAAATTACCATAAGAATGTTTTTAAAGATATAGATCCACAGCCCTAGCTGGTTGGGCACAATGGATGGAGCATCGGCCTGGAGACTAAAGGATTTCGGGTTTGATTCTGGTCAACCGCACATGCCCAGGTTGCGGGCTCGATCCCCATTGCGGGTTGTGCAGGAGGCAACCAATTGATCATTGATGTTTCTCTCTCTCTCTCTCTCTCTCTCTCTCTCTCTCTCTCTCTCTCTCTCTCTCCCTCCCTCCCTCCCTCCCTCCCTCCCTCCCTCCCTCTCTGAAATCAATTTTAAGAATTTAAAAAAGGCCGAAGCCAGTTTGGCTCAGTGGTAGAGCGTCGGTCTGCGGACTGAAAGGTCCCAGGTTGGATTCCGGTCAAGGGCATGTACATTGGTTGCAGGCACATCCCCAGTAGGGGGTGTGCAGGAGGCAGCTGGTCGATATTTCTCTCTCATCGACGTTTCTAGCTCGCTCTCTCCCTCCCTCTCTCTCTCCCCCTTCCTCTCTGTAAAAAAATCAATAAAATTAAAAAAAAAGAATTTAAAAAAGATATAGATGACAAGGAAAAAGAGAATTAGATGCCAGCGGTGGGTTGAAGATGTCAGCAAAATATTTGCACACTGGCAAATGGATTGAGGAAAGCTGACCAGGCAATGTGTACAAGAGCAAGCAATCCATCTGCACTGGAGAATCTGGGAAAGACTCAGAATTTGGAGCCACCAGGTGTCACTGAAAGTGGGTGAGTCATAGGGCTTGGTTGAAAGTCTAACAGAGAATTAGGTAGAACCTCAACCCCTCTACCACCCCCCCACACACACACACACAACTGGACAATGAAAAGGTTACTTTCTGGAAAACTGAACCAAAGAAACTCTAGATTGGGATACTCGCACTAAATGCAGCGGAGATATTCTATCTGCAGCCCAATTCTTAATCAAGTATGAAGTCGAATAAAGACCATCTCAGGCATACAGTCTCAGAGAGTTTGCCTTAGGCATCCCTTTCTCAAGAAACTCCTGGAGGATGTGTTCCACCGAAATGAGGAAGTAAACCAAGAAAGGCATGAGGCCCAAGAAAAAAAAAAAAAAAGGACCCAACTAGAGAAGGAAGTAAACACGGTGAGGACCAGGGTGAGGCAAACTAGGTGGCTAGGGCACAAACTTCAAGGAGACATTGCTCTCAGGGTCAGCCAAGTACTGACTCAATGGTTGCATAACCCTGAGAGGAAGCACCTTCCTAAATTATGCTTTCATGGTGCCTCGAGGGCACCATAGGGATGCAGCTGTGCATGAGACTAGACTGTAACAGGAGATTGTTGCACTCTGCAGCACCAATGTCCTCCAGGAAACTAAAAGTGGCAGGGGAGAGAAGGAGACTTAGAGATTCCTGAAGTGTTTGCACACATTGAGAGATTCACATGTCTGTGGAGAATTAGTGATAAGTAATACATATCTAACAGATAGCTAAAGAAATTTCAAATGAGGCAATTATGAGTTCTGAAGGGGAAAAGAAAGTGCACAAGAAAGAAAAATAATTTTAGTGCACTAAATAGCTCAATTGTGAGTAATAGTTTCCTAGTTCTAGTTAGGCATTTAACTAAAGCCTGTGCTATAACAATATGGGGAGAAGGGGAAAGAGGAAAAATCTAGTGACAGTTACAGGGCCAAATCTCATCTTCATATTGGGGAGTTAGTGACAGTGTCTAATTGTTAAATCAGGAAGTAGTAATATTTCAACATTTTAAATAGTAAAATTGAGACATATAGAGGTAAATTCCAGAGAGGGAAAAAAAGAGCTAACAATGTTGAAAATGTCTGTCTCTGGGGAACAGATCTAAGTAGAGGGAGGCCAGAAATTTAGATTTTTTTTTAGATTTTTTACATACTATTTATAAAACTATTTGACTTGCCCTACCTAGTTGACTGGAGCATTGTCACATGCACCAAAAGGTTGTGGGTTCAATTCCCAATCAGGGCACATACTTGGGTTGTGGGTTTGTTTCTAGTGGGGGCATTACAAGAGACAACCAGTTGATGTTTCTGTTTTTCTCTCCCCCCCCCTCTCTCCCAAATAAATAAATGTAGCTGCCTCTGGTAAGGTTAAACAAACAAACAAACAAAAAAACAAACTATCTGAGTTTTCCAAGAAGTAAAAGAAAGCATGGGTCTAGTCTGGAAAAGACCACCCTGGTTCCCTGAGGTTTTATTCCACCCCAGACAGTGTTGGGGACCAATGTCTTCCAATACCAATGTCTGTCTTATCTTCCCCAGAGACTTACAGTAAAGGTCTCCACTTAAGGCATTTAGGGTCCAAATGGATATGATTCCACTCACAGACTCCTAGAGCAAACAACTCGAAAGGCTCAAAGACACCATGTGCCCATATGAGCTAGTGAGGGAGGGATGAGCTCTCCTGCCTGCTCCACACTGCATCTCTGTATGTGCTAAGTCCAACTCAAATGAAGTTACAGTCTCCTCCCCATATACATCTCCTTTTCTGCCACTCTCCTTCCTCACCATTCTCTGCTCTTCTGACCCTTCTGCCAGCTCACACTGGGACCTGAACCCTCAGTCTTGCCTCCTGCCTTTCTCCTACATCTTCTGTGATCAAATCTTATTAATTATACTCCAATTATTTGAATCTCTCTTCTTTCCTCTTCTCTCTGTCCTGACTACTACTGATCTGGCCTAATCACCACCACCTCTCACCTGGGCTATTACTACAGCCACTTCTTGTCATTGCTTTGCTACACAGAGCTATAGCAATCTCTCAAAAACACAAATCTGATGACACTGCCCTGTGCCAAACCTTATCATGCTTTACATGGCTCTCAGGAAACAGTCCAAACTATTTTCCATGGTTTACAATGCCCTATACTATCTGTCCCCTGCCTGCATATACAGTCTCCTTTCCTTTCTCTCTCTGATTCATTCATTCATTTGATATGTATGAAGCATCAATTCTGTGCCTCTCACCTCCTCATCTCACTTACCACTAGCAGCTCCCCGAATGGTTTATGCTCTCCTCTCACACTAACCTTGTCATATGTTGTCCACCCTTTGCCCTGAACACTCCTTCTTCTTCACCTATTTCTTATTTGTCCTTCAAGAGTAAACTCAGAGTCAACAGAGAAATGGGAAAAGGTCACAAATGTACTCCAGGCACAGATCCACTGAACCTCCTAATTAGCAGTGAGTGAAGAGATGGAAGACGTAATGAGAGAAACCCATAGGTTAGAATCAGGTCCTGTGGGTCACCTCCTCTACTTTGGATCTATGTGATCTTGACCAGACCACTCACTACATGAACCTCAGCTTCCTCAGCTATACAATGAAGATTATTAGGCACATATGGTGCTTCGAACGGTGGCTGCATGAAAAGGGGGTGCAATAAATGTGAGCATTAGCTATCATTAGTAGTGTGTAACTGCGGGGGCCTGAAGCTGCGGGGATCTCCCTTTTCCGCGTCATGCACGGAAAGAGAAATGAATGAACCGGTTCTAAGTGGAGGTGCCCAGGGATTGAGAAATATTAGAAATAAAGAGAGAAGACATAGAAACAGATTTCTAGCTGGGAGCTGGGAGGGCCGCTGACCTCCTCTGCTGGAGAGACAGACTGACAACCTCCTAAGCCATGCAGCACATCTATTTATACTCCAATCCAACAAGGGGTTTCACAGGAAAACAAGGAGCCTGGGAGAGCCCAGGTTCCACCTACTCCTTCCTCCTGAACAAACACATTAGTCAGGAACTAAGAACATTTCAGCACTCCCAGGGTGGGAGTGCAACTGACATGATTCTGTCAATATCCCGGCCCAGACAGCAACAATCTACAGAATGTCCAGGTGTCTTCCCATTTGGCCCTCTACAGCAACTATTAGGATGTATTATTATACATAGAAATAGCTTCTACCTCATAAAGTTGGCATGTGAACACTGTAAGTACCTAACACAAGAATTTATTTCCCCTGGTCGCTTCCAGTTCTCCTGATTGCCTGTCTTTCCTAGATCAACACTGTTCTTTTCAGTATTGGGGCTCCAGGTGCCCACCTTAGGCAGGCCTCCTCTAAGCCCCATTCCCTGTCCTCTAGTTCATTCTCTCCAGTCATGGGCAAGTCCTGGGCTCACAGAGCCCATCTGCGTTTTCCTTCCCAGATACCTTACAAGTTCATTTAGTTCATGCCCCTGCCTCCAGTCAGTACTCACCTAAACCACCTGACAAAAGAGTATTTTCCACAGACCCCCCCCCCCCCCCGATATGGATGGTTTGCTTTAACACCTAGAACACAGTGGCCAGCAGATAACTTTCACAATGTGTCTGTGATGGAGAAGGTGGAAAAAGCAGACGGATAGATGAATGAATTCTTCCATACCAAAGGTTTTCACAGCCTCCCTCTGTCACTAAGTCAATTGTCTCCTAATGATGGTCCACTCAGGTTCTTAAGATTGCAGCTGAAACCTTTTCCTTGGCTATTCCCACTTTCCCAAAACATGCTCTCTGTGCCCCAATGTAAACCCAGGAAGTTTCAACATGCACATTTGCAGCAAGACCCTATCTCACACATGTGCACACATACCCCTACATAGGCACATACCCATATGCACACACATCCCCACATGCACATTCACAGACTCCACGAGTATCATGCCCAGGTATGTCAGCCTACAGGCAGAGGACCAACCATCTTGATGTGCTGGGGACCATCCAGGTTTTAACATTAAAAATCCTGCTGAACCTAAAACCCCTCAGTCCTAGGCAAATACAGATGGTCACCCTACCAAAGGCTAAAGTCTCACCAAAAACTAAGATACTGAGGGCCCAGTGGAAAATAGCAAAGAACTCCGGGGCAATCTTGAGGTCCTTCTTAGAGGGCAAGAGCATTATGCCTAGGGTTCTAGTGGCTCCAAGTAAGTGCTGTTCAGATGCTCAGATCCTAATGCTCAGGGGCCTGCCATGTTTCCTCTCTTCACGCTTTCTTCTCCAGCCCCTGCCTAGTCTCCATGCCCTCATTCCCCCCTGTCCCCTTCCCTTCACTGGATCATAGTACTGCGTGCTGTCTCTACTTGTCCAGTTCCTTTCACCTCTCTAACCACCTGCACTTTCACCCACCTGGAATGGCATGGGGTAAGATTATGACACTCTCTTGCACACCTGCATAGAGAACTGAGAGTAAAACTCTGATGTGGGAAGTGAGTGGGAGTGGGGGTGGAGCTGATGAGAGGCCTTCAGAGCCAGTGTGGATAGGAGTTGGGGGGCAGTGAGGAGCCCAGGGCACACAGGTCTGCATTTATTTTTGAGGCTCAGTTCTAAGATTAAACAAGGGTCTCATAGTCTGGGTAGTTCTAAATGTTATTTCTAATTAAATGTTAAACCCCTTGCACCCCGAACCATTCTGGACATTGGCTACCAGCTACTCGACGCTACTTTGCGGCGGAAACGTGCGTTGAAATAACTCAATTCCCTGTAATCACTAATAAACTGCAATGTCCCCTGAGAGATGACATCCGAGTGATATGCTAGAATTCCGATGTCCCCTGAGAGGGGACAGCGGAGTGCAAAGGGTAAAATGTAGCAGAGTATTTTGTAGATGAAGCTGTATACAGGATGAGCTAAGAACTCAACCCATGAAAGTAGCCAACTGCAAGGAAGACTAGTAAGCCTCCATTCAGGGAGGCAGTTTTAGATATTAATCCCCTGTCTCCTTTACTTGCTGCACATAAATAAAACTACCTTGGGACAAGCACCTCTCATTTTTTAATAAACCACCCAAAGCTGCAAACCCCTTGAGTTTTATAACACAGCTATCTATGGTCTCTCAGTGACACTGTGATTGGAGGGGAGGAGAGAGGTCACAGGCCAGGCCAAGAAATACCTTTGGCTTTTTGGTCAGTCCAGAAATCACTGTGTTCCATGAACTGACATCAGATATGGTCTATAAGTGTATAGTAGGTGCTAAATAAAAAATTTTATTGAAGAAACAAATGTGAGCACTTATAAAATTATTCGGTGTACATGAAATTCTAGGACAGGTAAAACTCAGCAAATATGCACCTAAGATTTGTGTATTTCTCTGCATGTAAAATTTACCTATAAAGTAAACAAATATTGAACTCAGTGCTGAAGTGTTTAGAGGTGAAGAGTACTGATGGCTGCAATTAATTTTGAAATGCATATATTATGTATTAATGGATGAATCGAGTGGGAGTGGGGGTGTGTGATAAATCCATTTAACAAAATACCTGAACAATCTAGGTAGTGGGTGTTCACTACAATTTTTTCAACTCTTCTGTGGGCTTGAAATTACTTACAGTAGGACTTTGAGAGGAAATAGGTCCCTCAAGGTCATAGTAAAAATACATTTTTAAAATGGTTTCTCCATTCAAAGAAGAACAAACACCTATCCTCCTCAAACTATTCCAAAATATCAAAGAGGAAGGAACACTTCCAAGCTCCTTTTATGAGACCAGCAATATCCTAATTTCAAAACCAGATAAAGATACAACAAATAAAGAGAATTATAGGCCAATATACCTGATGAACACATATGCTAAAATCCTTAACAAAATATTGGCAAATCAGAACAGCTGGCATGACTCAGAGGTTGAGCATAGACCTATGAACCAGGAGGTCACAGTTTAATTCCTGGTCAGGGCACATGCCTAGGTTATGAACTCCAACCCCAGTAGGGGGCCTGCAAGGGACAGCCAATCAATGATTCTTTCTCATCATTGATGTTTCTCTCTCTGCCTTTTCCTTCCTTTCTGAAATCAATAAAATATATTTTTAATATATATTTGCAAATTGGATCCAGCAATATATTAAAAGCAGGATTTATTCCAGGGATGCAAGGCTGGTACAATATTTGTAAATCAATAAATGTGATACATTACATAAACAAATTGGGAGATAAAAAAAACCACATGATCATATCAGCATACACCGAAAAAGCATTCCACAAAATCTAAAAACCATTTTTTAATTTTAATTCTTTATTGTTTAAAGTATTACATATGTCTTCTTTGCCCCCCCCCATTGACTTCTCCCCAGCTGCTCTCACCCCCTAACACATGCCTCACCCCCCCCCAACTGTGTCCATTGGTTATGCTTATATGGATGCATACAAGTCCTTTGGTTGATCTCTTACCACCACTCCCCACCCTCCATTGTCTTCCCTCTGAGGTTTGACAGTCTGTTCGATGCTTCTATGTCTCTGGATCTATTTTTGTTCATCAGTTTAGGATGTTCACTAAAGGTCCAGTGTATAAAATTTGTGCACTTGGGGTCGGGGGGGGGAGGGGTCCCTCATCCTGGCCTGTACCCTCTCACAGTCTGGGACCTCTCAGGGGATATCTGCCTGCCAGCTTAGGCCTGATCCCCCCAGGGAATTGGGCTTAAGCTGGCAGTAAGACATCCCTCTCACAGTCCGAGGCTCTTGCACTCAATCCTTATTACCCACTTACAACAGAGGCAGAAGATGCTTCTTTCACTGCCACTGCACTCACCAGCCCTGAGCCCAGCTTCTGGCTGAGCAGCACTTCTGCTATGGGAGCACACTGACAACCAGGGGGCAGTTCCTGCATTGAGCGCCTGACCCTGGTAGTCAGTGTGCGTCATAGTGATCAGTCATTCCGCTGGTCATTCCGCCATTCAGTCAATTTGCATATTAGGGTTTTATTATATAGGATTATATTCCACAAATGAGTGAGATTATGTGATGTTTATCCTTCTCTGACTGGCTTATATTGCTTAGCATAATGCTCTTCAGGTCCATCCATGCTGTTGTGAATGGTAAGAATTCCTTCTTTTTTATAGCAGTGTAGTATTCCATTGTGTAGATGTACCACAGGTTTTAATCCACTCATCTGATGATGGACACTTAGGCTGTTTCCAAATCTTAGCTATGGTAAATTGTGCTGTTATGAACATAGGAGTGCACATATCTTTTCTGATTGGTATTTCTGATTTCTTGGGATATATTCCTAGAAGTGGGATTACTGGGTCAAATGGGAGTTCCATTTTTAATTTTTGAGGAAATTCCATACCATTTTCCACAGTGGCTGTACCAGGCTGCATTCCCACCAGCAGTGCACGTGGGTTCCTTTATCTCTGCATCTTTTCCAGCACTTGTCGTTTGGTAATTTGTTGATGATAGCCATTCTGACAGGTGTAAGATGGTACTTCATTGTCATTTTGATTTGCATCTCTCGGACCAAAGACCATTTTTTATAAAAACTCTCAGCAAAGTGGGAATAGAGGGATCATACCTCAATATAATAAAGGCCATATATGACAAACCTATAGCCAACATCATTCTCAGTGGGGGGGAAAAAAAGCACTCCCCCTCAGAACAAGACAGGAATGTCTGCTTTTACCAGTCTTATTGAACCCTAGGGGCCCTGTGCACGAATTTATGCACCTTGAAAGGAACTGTGGACCACAAGGCTACGGTGGACACAGGGGCAGGTCTTGGAACATCCTCCATGCCCCTGCCCAGCCTCTCCTGCTTTGGACTCTGCTCCTGCTGCCGCCACTGCTCCCATGAGCTGACAGTGCCAACCTCGCTCACATCTGCTGATAAGTGATTGAGGCCCGTGCCAGCAGAAGATGCGAGTGGGGCTGGAACCATCAGTGGATGCGAGTGGTGGCATTGCCCCTTAAGAGCAGGAGGAGGTGGAAAAGCCCCTAGGGGTGATGACAGTGCCAAGCGTTTGGGACTAGAGCTGGGCACCTGCAGCCATGCAAGCCGGTGCAAGCAGTGGAGGTGAGCGGGGCCCTCGCCAGCAGTGGATATGAGAGGTGGATGCCAGCCTGATTGTCCCCTCAGGAGCAGGGGAGGTGGAGAAGCCTGAGGAGCGATTGGGGCCGGCGCTGGGCACTGGGAATGGATGTAAGTGGTAGCTCTGGCACCAGCAGCAGATGCAGCGTGTGGGAACAAAGAATTTTCAGTAACCACCAGAGGCTCACCCCGATGACAGCAACCAGCGCCCCTCCTTGGTTTGGTGCCCCTGCTCATCTGCTCCACCATCCCACAGTGGCCAACACCTGCCATGTCCCACATGGGCCCCCTGGTGGTCAGCATACTTCATAACAACCGGTTCAGTTGTTCCATTATTCAGTCTATTTGCATATTAGGATTTTATATAGAGAGATAGTACTGGAAGTCCTAGCCACAGTGATCAGAACACAAGAAAATGTAAAAGGCATCCAAATTGGAAAGAAGGAAGTAAAATTGTCATTATTTGTAGATGACATCATAGCATAAATAGAAAACCCTAAAGACTCCACCAAAAAAACTACCAGATTTAATAAATGAATTTGGCAATGTAGCAGGATACAAAATTAATACCCATAAGTCTAAGGCATTTTTATATGCCAATAATGGTCTCTCAGAAAGTGAAACACACAAAAAATCCCATTTACCATTGCAACAAAAAATTAAGTACAAAGGTCATTACATAATACTAAGGAATCAATCCAACAAGAGGATATAATCCTGGTAAACATATAAGCACCCAATATAGGAGCACCTAAAATATAAAAAAATCTTCTGTAGGACTTTAAGGAAAGATAAACAACAATTCAGTCACAGTTTGAACTTTAACACCCCACTGACTTCAGTGGATAGATCTTTCAGACAAAACCTTAACAACGGAACAGTGACTCTAAAGGACACACTGGATCAAGTGGATTTAATTGACATTTATAGAACATTTCACCTCAACATAGCAGAATATACATTCTTCTCAAGTGCACATGGGTTATTCACAAAGATAGACCACATCTTAGGACACAAAACAAGTCTCTACAAGTTCAAGAAAATAGAAATCATATCAAGAATCTTCTCAGAGCACAGTGAAATGAAACTAGAAATAAACTACAGT